TTATTGTAAAAACAAATACACCCTCACCCGCCATATCAACTGCATTCAGAAATGTTTTTCTTGAAGCATTTTTCTGATGGAAAACGTCACTTTGATGAAGCCAACATCTTTGCATTTCTGCAATATTTTGTGCCTCTTTAGCCTAACATGACATTTCATATTGTTCACATCTTTTGCTAGCATCAGAACATGACATGATAGCCTATCATATAAGATATACTAGTCAAAACAGATTATTTTTAAATACATTGAGGCCAGATGCTACTTTGTGTAGACTGAAACAGCTTATCGTCTTGCTTCCTAGAAGAGTCTCCCACTTGAGCACTTGCTCTCCAACCTTTCAGTGGATGGGCGGGGGAAGGCGCGATTTTTTTTCCCTGGGGTAACAAATTGGATCCTGAAAGTTATCCAGTGTGACTGACCACCCACCCAGTGATCTCACTTCTCCTGATGGATTATCTTCTGAAATGTTAAATAAATTATTTAAAGCTATCTTGTCTAAATTCCTTAATATCTATGACTATTCCTGTGATCTGTTAAGAAGCAGTGGAAGAATTATTTCAAATGTATTTTGTATTCTTTTAATTTTAACTTCTGATTTAGCTACATGCCTTTCCTTCAGTTTTTGGAAGCTGAATGTGCACCATTGGGATTCTCAGGTAAATATCTCAGTGAAGGTTGAACTTCCAAAGAGCCTGCCTGAGTGCAGGACCCAACTCTGCAAGCGATGAGAACAACGCAGCCAGATTCTTCTCTAGGCAGCCCTCACCGGTCCCCAGCTCCCATCTGAGCTACTATGGAGCTTCTGTTACACAGCTGAACATGTGGAGTATCTCCGCTAACAAACGAATAAATCCATTAGTGCCCTTGATGAGGATTATATGAAGTACTGCCTGAAGTGCCCAGAAAATTCTTTCCAGACATAAGTTCCTGCAATCCTCTTTGGAGAAATGAAATAAAAATCTAGGCAAAAATAGGATTCTTATGTCCAAAAACTGACTACCAGGCACTTAACAATCAGTTCTGCAGGGCTGATAATTCTGTCCTTCCTTATGTTTGAAGCAGTGAGACTTTCTAGGTGATTTCAGGCAAGCAAAGTAGAGGGCCACGGCCTGTAAATTCACATTAGCATTTTCACTGTTGTACAGTGTGTAATGTTGGAGCTCATGGAAATAATAACCGGCCATTTGAGAAAATATTGGCTCACAGACAGTGTTAATACCTTGTACACAGTCATCACTGGACTGAAGGAGGTCCTGCAAATACATATATATATTTTTATATATATACACACACACATATATTCCATCAAATAAGGGATGGGATGGTGAATGATGTGCAGTGCAGGCTATTTTGACAACTGTCTCATTGGAAACAGTGGTTAAGGAGAAATGACTTGCATAATA